CAAGGCTCTGGACTCATCGGTCCAGAATGCAAAACTCTGTCCATGGCTTTTGCTTAAGATACAAGTCAAAGAATAAAAAAGTACAGTAATGATAGTTTACTTACTTTATACTTTATTTCAGACCCATAGGTCCATATCATTATAAAAAAAAAAGAAATATAAATACAGGACATTAACAACGGGATATAATCACTACATTTCACAGTTTGTCAGCGATTCAAATAAAAGAGACATTTGCACCAGTGTTTCCAGAAACTCACTCGTGTCACTGAGTGTGGGCTGAGTCAGTCACATTAAAATTAAGTTTTCTGTATTATCTAATCGACACATACAATTTCTCAGCACAGCATGAAACATGGAGACATTATTAAAAACAAACATCTGACTTGCACTCGTCCATCTTGGTAACTTACGAAAGATTCTGAATGCATCATTATATGCCACCTGTAAGTTTTTCATTTTAGCTTGACTGTAATTGCACCACACGTGAGCAGTATACAGTGGAGTACAGTGCTCTGAACAGCTCAGTTTGAACGTTGTCTGTGCACATTTGAAATTTACGTGCCAGAATATTAGCTTGAGCGTACAGTTTGCAGCACTGACGCTGCACATCATCATCATCATCACTCAAGTCATTCCTGATAATATGTCACAGATATTTGACTTCATCTACCACACTCAGGGCTTGATCAGAGATTAAAAAAATCAATCATGACAACACTCTTCTTACTGTTATACTTTATGTCACACTGCACGCCATAACTCGAGCAGATTCTTAGACTTAGCTGTAGGCCAGCACTATAAGGTGACAATATAGTTCATAGTTTATGATCAATAATAGTTTAGGGAGTTACGTTTAAAGTTGTCTTACCCGTCAATCAGGAACTGTTCCATCAGACTAATGCACCACCATTTTCAGATGTGTATCATGTCCTTCTAAAATAAATGATAGAATATTCACCATACGTTCAGGAGTTGTGGTCATTTTCAGTCACTAATCAGTATTTCACCATTTTTCTGCTCAGTAGTTGCAGTTTATGCAAGCCAATCACATTAGAGTACAACACAAAGTTATAGAGTCGTGTTAAATAGTCACACCATACTGTAATGTGTGGTTAATACTGTAGTTTAAAGTACATTTTAGATGATGCTTAGTTAGCCTTGTGACAAACGTACTGAGGGATTCAAGTTCTTCTTTTATACCTGCTCCGATAACTGAAGAAAAATACTGACCTCAGTGAACCGAAGTGGAGCATCTGTGCTCAGGCTGAGTGCATACTATGAAAGGAAAAGATTTGAGAAGTGATGACAGTTTCAAATAATACAGTACAAAACCAACAGAGACTGGAAAGCAATATACCACCAGTATGAAGATACCACAACAACTTCCAGTGGTTTGCTGAGGGAGACCCTGTACAAATGTGGCAAAGTTTTAAATAGGCAATATAACAGTGTTGTGGTCAAAAGGAAAATATAGACGTGTGCATTCAATTCCATGAGACTCTGGAGAACAGTACATCAATGTCTCTGCCAAACTTAACTGTCCACTCACCTGGAGCAATGTGATGAGCTAGGTCACTGTCAAAATCAATCATTAGAAAAGAAATGACTCATCTTATGTGTCTATTTGTGTCAGAAAAAACATACTTTCAATGATATGAAAATGTATAAGAAACCCCAATAATATCAACTAAAAATGTCTATTTTCCACAAAATATTGATAATATTGCACCAGAACATTGATATAAATGTATCCAGCAGCAATGTTAGGAATCTAGGAGTCCTATTTGACCAAGATATACTTTAACTCTCTCACAAAACACCTTTGTAATATATCTAAGATCAGGCATATCCTGTCGCAAAATGATGCAGAAGAACTATTTCACACATTTGTTAGCTCCAGGTTGGATTATTGTAATTCTCTTTTGTCAGGGTGCTCTGGTAAGTCTCTAAAGACTCTTTAACTAGTCCAGAACGCTGCAGCTCTTGTACTGACTAGAACTAGGAAAAGGGACTAGTTCTCTTTCGGACATAAGGACACTTTTATCATAAACACTCATCTCTGGGTGGCCATCTTGGCTTTTCATGTCCGATCCAGTCTTCAAGACCTCGCCGTTCTTCTCTGGACAGACTCACTCATGCAGGACGAGAGATGTCGCGACACCAGGTTTCAAAACTTAGATTTGATTTTAGTAAAAATTAATACCTGTTTCATTACCAAAAGAATTCATTTTTAGACACTTCAAATCCATTATTACCCCTTTACCTTTTCTGAAGATTATTTCCTTTTTTGTGTTGGCTTCTCTGCACTGGCTCCCTATAACATCTAGAATAGAATTTAAAATCCTTCTTCTCACTTACAAAGCTCTAAATGGTCAGGCACCATCTAATCTTAAAGAGCTAATAGTGCCGTACTACCCTTCAAGGTCTCAGAATGAAGGCCTGCTCGTGGTACCTACAGTCTCTAAATGTACTATGGGAGGTAGAGCCTTCAGTTATCAGGCCACTCTCCTTTTGTCAGTCAGGGTCCGGGAGGCAGACACACTGTACTTCTAAACTAGCTAAAATATATCCCAATCATAGCGATGCTTGTAACTGTTGTAAACTAATCTCCAGCTGACCATTTACATACTGTATGTTCTGGACATGCCCGAGGCTCACAAGCTTATAGTCAGAAATATTCTGTACTCTCCAACAGGCTCTCAATGACACTTTAAAACTGAAGCCCCTGACTGCCCAACCCAAAATATACACTATAAATATACACAATTTAAAACAGGTGGGTACAGGACATATACACGTTTCCAGATGAGCAGGCATGTTGAAGGAGGAGAGTTGGGAATTTGGACTTCTTTCTACAGAGAACGGAAAAATGTCTTCATTAATTTATATATGTACTTAACTTCAAATATGTTGTAGATTTATAGTAGATAGTTTTAAAGAAACCATCTCAGAGGAAAGATGGACCTAACCTTAAACCTTTCTTCTCATCATAAAAATATTGACTTTATGAATACTGCTAATGACAGTTTGACAAGAACGCATGCCAGGCGAAGTAGAAGTAGGCAAACAAGTCCATCAACTGTACGAGGAATGAGGAAACAAAGCTGGAAATGTACAGTGCTGCTCCTCTTCCTGGAATAAACCAGAGCTTGATAACCCCTCCCTCTCCTGCCTGCTCTCAAACACAGCCAGCTCCACTCTGACCCAGTATTTCCTGGTTTCTACAATTTATTTTCATTAAGATGCAATCCAGCAGAAGAAAATCGACTTAAAAACAGATCACAAACACGGCGTGATACAGACTGAATGAAAGAATGAGGAAATTAAATGACGTTTCTGGCTCTGAAAGAGGGAGGAGACCGAGAGAAACTCAGGGTTCATAGAAGAAAACCTGCTCCCGACCAGGTTCACTGGTTGCTCAGTTACCATAGTAACTGACTCAGAGGTAAAGTTACCTCTCCCTCTGAAACGGGCTGGAGTTACCCCTCTTTCTTGGGTTTGAGTGACCTCCCTCTCTGAAACGGAATACCCAGAGTTTCCCTCATTTCAGGGTTAACAGACTCAGAGTTTACACAAAACCTTCTTTCCGAAACGGGCCCCTGGTCTCTGTTATACAAACATCATTTCTCTCCTCATGAACACTACATTTGGAATAACAAGGATATTTGTTTAAAACGTAAATCTCTGTTTCTTAAGAACTGGATTGAAGAGGACATACTACTTGTCCATCAATTGTTCAACAGAGAGGGTCAGTTGTTAACCTATGAAGAGTTTCTTTCAATGTTTTAAACCCCTGTACTCCCTCGGGAATATGCTTTTTGTATTTGATGCTACCCCGTCCAGTTTAAAAATCCTTCTGTCCATTTATGTGAGGGATGATGGGCATCATGACACGTTTGACGAGGATCCTTTTCTAAGTGTTAAAACGAATAACAAATGTATAAGAGAAATAATTTAGAGAGACACCAGAAGTAAACCTCCATCTATGTTTGAATGGAATAATCTGTACACTGGCATTGACTGGAAAAAGACTTGGATATTACCAAGGAAATATTTTGTGTCAAATAAGGTGTGAGAAGTGTCTTGGAAGATTTTGTGCTATCCAATGAATTCATCTCTTGGTAAGTATCGACTAAGCATTGACCCTCTTTGTATATTTTGTCACGTTGCAGACGAAACGTTAACTCACCTTTTTTGGGATTGTCCTTCAAGTCACATTTTTTGGACTGATTTAAACCTTTTTTTGAATCAAAAATAAGATGTTCAACTTAGATTCAAAAGTGAATATATATTGTTTGGTCTTTTTGATCATGAATTACCTCTACAAGAAAAGAACATCATCAATCTTGTTATTTTATCAGCATAATTCCATATTCATACAAGCACATTATTTAAACAGAAACCCAGCAATATTGTTTTTATGTCCTACTTCAAATCCTACCTGGAGACATTACATTATTGCACTAATCCTAAAGCAATGAAAACAAAGCTTTTTGTGATATACTTGAATTGTAATTTTTGTTTTTTCTTAAATGGTCTGTTTATTGATTTATTTTTCTATTTTTTTGTTATCATTGTTTCAGACATTTATTTGTAGCAGTACCTCGATTATAACTTTGTTCCTGTCATTGAATCCTGATGTATTTAACATTTTGTAAATAAAGTTGAAAAAGTTGAATTCCTTGTTATAAAATCTTGCCAGATTAAAGAATTACTAAGAGTTAATAATTTATTGTAACGTGAACAGAGAGTTGATTTTGGGGAGAAAATAAAAAACTTTATTTCTTAAAATGATCTGTATTCCTTGTTGATGGTTCTGAACATAGATCTTACACTGTCTCATTTTTTGCTGTCTCGTTATCTGAAGTCCTGAGTTCTGTTTGAATTATTTATGAAATCAACCAATCAGAACGAGGCTTCTATGACATCATACCCACAGCTGTGGACCTCCCTCCTGACCGCCCCATGCCGTCTCCGGTAGAAATCCATTCCCTGGTTCGTCCTGCTGGGACTAGCGGCCGCCATCTGGACGGTCCTCGCCGCGGATCGCGGAATTGGGCAGAGAGTGATAAAAGGAGGGTTCACATGTCAGACCCCTCCCCATTCCAGCGGCGGGTCAGAGGAGGGAGGGGGATTTCCTTGACTCTACACTTTCATGTCGGACTTGTTCCAGCAGCACAGAGTGAAGCGGACATGCTAAGGCAATGGGGATAACTTCTTCCTGGAGGTTAGTGAAGTTACTCGGCTTTTTCATTGCGCTTGTCCTCTCTGTTCAGATCTTAGTGGACAGAGTAACACAGAGTAAACATCCGGCAGAGCCAAGTCCCCTCCCCGCGGAGGAGTACAGAGTCATATCCCCTGAAACATACCGCTATCTTCTCAACCAGCCGTCTGTATGCAAAGACAAAAAGCCCTTTCTGGTGTTTATGGTACCAGTTGCACCTCTGGAAGCTGCAGCAAGGGAAGCCATCAGAAAAACATGGGGTGCTCCAAGACAGGACACCCTTACCCTGTTCTATGTGGGCTTACCTGAGGAGGGACAGGGGTCAAGGAGCCAGAAGGAGCTGGAGGAGGAGAGCAGGAAACACGCAGATATCATCCAGATGAACTTCCAGGACAGTTATCAGAACCTGACAATCAAGACTATGATGATGATGAACTGGCTGGCGACCCACTGTCCAAATGTCTCCTATGCCATGAAAGTGGACGCCGACATCTTTGTGAATGTGTTCTACCTCATGAGACGCCTGGGGGGCTCTCCCAGGCAGGGCTTCATCACCGGCTCAGTGATATGGGACGGCAAGCCAAGGCGGGACATCAACAGCAAGTGGCATGTGTCAGAGGAGCTGTACCCCGAGGACAGCTTCCCGCCTTATGTGTCTGGAGCCGGGTATGTGTTCTCTGCAGACCTGGCTGCCAGGATCTCCTGGGCATCCAGGTTTGTTAGGATGATCCCCCTGGAGGACGTCTATGTGGGTTTGTGTCTGCGTGTGCTGGGTGTCAGGCCCGTGTACTCCCGCAGCCTGCTCTTCCTCAGGAACTTGTTCCAAATCCAGAATCTGGAGTACGACAGGTGCACTTTTAACAAACTGCTCATCGCCAACGGCTTTAATCCGTCACAACTGCTGCACAGTTGGCAGGACTTCTCCCAGGGTCATTCTAGCTGCTGAAAGAGGAGATTAACACGTATGAGAGCTTGAAACAAAGTTTAAAATAATGACACAAGTAGCCTTTTGTAAAGGACACAAAGTCATTGGAGACACAGCCATTAGGTCGGGGGTGGTGGGTGATGATTGGTAACTCAGAAAAATTCAAATGGTAACCTTTCACTTTTCCCACTCACCAAAAGAACCCCCCCCCCCCCCCCCGACATATTTTGTCTCTCCCTCTCTTTCTCCATTTTGAGACACCCAAACATGTCAGACAGGGACAGTCTCCTGCTGTGAGAGACATGTGAACAACCAACTCAGGAAGATTTCAGTAGCACTATTTAGATATTTACGCCTTTAATCTGAATGTCGTGGAGGCATAATGGGGGGGGTGAAGTGATCCCCCCCCCCCCCCTGTACCGTCTTTGGTGGTAGGAACAGAAGCGTTACAGGTGAGAGACGGTTTTAGCGGAGTCAGTGGGGGAGCGCAGCGCTGTGTGTGTGTCCATGTCTGACTGTGTGTGTGTCCATGTCTGACTGTGTGTGTGTGTGTCCATGTCTGACTGTGTGTGTGTCCATGTCTGACTGTGTGTGTGTGTGTGTGTGTGTCCATGTCTGACTGTGTGTGTGTGTCCATGTCTGACTGTGTGTGTGTCCATGTCTGACTGTGTGTGTGTCCATGTCTGACTGTGTGTGTGTCCATGTCTGACTGTGTGTGTGTCTGTGGCGCTCTCACTGTGCCGTGCTTCAGCAACCCTGAATGTGAATTCACAGACTGGGACACTGATATTACGCCGTCGCAGAATCAATATGAATGTTCAAAGACGTGATGAAGGCTGAGACTAGTAACGGCACTTTTGCAACAACAACAACAAAACAGGGCTAGGAGTCTGACAATTTCTGGACATTTTCAGGATTGCATTTGTGAAAACGTCTTTAGAGACTAGTCCGCTGGAAATGTTTCGTATGTGTGATTGTGAATCTTTAAACTTGAAAGTCATAGTTGTCCCATATACGCATTTGTTGTGAAGCTAAACTGAAAAAAAAAATAATTTAGTAGAAGCTAAATCAGCCAAATCTGATGAGGCTGACCAAATTCTGAGAGGGGAACAGCCCTCGGACAAACATCCAGATTAGAACCCCGTCCATCAATACATGCACCTGCAGAAGCACCTTGAACCTCGGCTTTTGAAGGTTGCTATTGAACTGAAGGTTGTAACATCAGAACAAAATATGCAGAGAGAAGGAAGTGTAATGCATTTACCTTGACTCAAACCAATAAACCATATGCAATCATAATAAGGATTAAAGTCCCTCGTAGCTGCAGCCTCACAAGAACGTATGTCAGTGTGTTTGTCGCTGTTGCAATCCAGCCTGACTTTGGAGCAGGCAGCACTCAAAACTAAATATCTACTGCTGGTGCTTTTACTTCTTCATCCAAAGTGCTGGGGAGTCATATCATGTTATCTCCTTTAGGTCTCCTCTAAAGGCAGATAACATCATGTGTTTAAACCAAAGATGGTATGAAACATCTTTTTTTCTGCCATTGCATTTCTACTACAGTCAGTGCCTGATGGGTTTGGTTCTATTATTTAATTTAAAAGATAATAATATATGGAGATTAAAAAGTCAACTTGCTGAATTGCGCCGCTGCTATATGATACAAAGAGCTTCATGTAATGTAGACTGTTTAGAATAACCTGCAGTGTATTATTGTTCAGGTTACTGTGCCTTTTCTATTTATGCATGTTTGTTGTTGCATCAAACAACCAGCAGGGGGCAGTGTGTGCTATGCAATGAAACGCAGTTTACAGTTTGTTGTGCTGATGTACTTTATGCTGGACATGCAGTGCCTAAAGCAGATACATTATGGCTTTTTTTTTGCAGTGATAATTTATCATGTTGTTGTATCACCTGTTGCCTTCTTTGTTGTCCAGACAAAATCAAAGTCTTGGACAAAAATGAAAAAAAAAGGAAAGTTTGTATTTATTCCTTGAAAAGCATTCTCTCTTTGTTGATTTTGTAAAAAAGCAAACTTCTGCAAATTAAAAGGAAAACAAGGAACAAACACAAAGTCTGACTGTTGATGTGTTCTTATCCAAACACTCCTCTCTTCTTCTTCTTCTTCAGGTTAAGAGTATGATGGTCGTCTGTTTGTTCATGCAACAGTTCTTCTTCTTTTGTCAAAATCTAACTGTGTTGCTCTTTCAAACCTTTTTTTATCTTCATCAATTGCATTTTTTGTCAAGTTCATCATGTTTCATTTCAGACTTAAAGGAGAATGTGTGACATTTTACACATAAACATATCAGAAACCAAATATCTCCTCTGTAAATGTCTCTGAGTCATGACTGTCTACAATGAGTGAGAAGCTCGAGTCCTGCCATCTGTACGGTTGTCGGGCTGTGTTTACATCATGTTTACATGGGCGGGACGGCCTTGTGTGTAAAGCTGTTTTAGTCAAGAACTAGAAGAAAGTTAACCAAAGTGTGCTAACATTAGCATGCTAACACAACAATGCAGGCCACAAGCGATTGCAGCTCGAGCAAAGGAGAATTTTGTCTGCCGCTTAATGTTGCTTAATTATGATGCGATCTGATTTATAACTCCTTTGTGCCGACGCTAAGGAGGAGGTGTGACGCTGGAGGAGAGGCTTCAGAATAACGGAGGTATCGCTATTCCAGTTTGAAACAAAAGTTTAAAGTAGCATTATAGAGAAGTACTTAATCAAGAAATGAGTGAGTATATGTAAGTACAAGCATTTCATACGGCATTGTAAAATATCGTCACACTTTGATTTAAAGCCTGGGCTTAAATTTTTTAAATATATTTTACATACTTTAATAATCCCTGATGGAAATTCTGGTTTACATTCTGTTATTGAGACATGTTTCACACACACATGTACAAACAGGACCTGTGGACATGCACTAGTGGAGAGATGTCAGAGTGAGGCTGTTAGGCAGGGAGCAAGCCATAGCTGTTGTGGGTCCCTCCGGTTCCCAACACAAGTCCCTACGGACTGAGCTACTGCCCCCCCCCTTCCTTCAGTTTATGCCTTTATTTGGAACAGCCGTCCGTACGAGATGGACCTTTAATTATTTTCAAACAAATTTATACACAAAAAATATGGGACAGACTTTAAAAATATTAAATTTACACCAGAGAGAATATTTACCTTTGTACTACATTAGGTTATGAATAAACAAATTAAATCACAAATCACTTATTTGTTTTGATCTTTGCTTTAACAGCCTAACCATACCAACCTGCTGGACTGTGGGGGAGACAGGGAGACAACCTTGTTAATATATGTTGGATCAAAACGTCCACCAACACCAGGCTAGGAAAAGATACTGGGCCTTAAATTTGAATGAGCTTTTATTTGAAGTTTTACGGTATATTCAGAAGTCAAAGTGATGTTGTACTTTCAGTACTCATGGAGTGCCTCTCGCCCAATCAGAATACTAGGCTGGGAACTTACTGATGTATAGCAGTACTTAAAGGAGCAATATGTAACTCTGACACCTAGTGTTTAAAATAGGTACTGCAGTCCAGATTCAAAACATTAGAGAGAGCTGTCTACCCCCTCCCCCTCCTCTCTAGAGACGATGCTCATAAAGGTCACTGAAGCTTCAGTGTTTATCCAGCTCTGCATGGGTCTGTAAACCTTTCTGTGTTCTAACCTCTCTCCATTTTTCAAAAGCATCTCCAACATTGATCCTAGTTTGAGCACGTTTCTGCTCGTGGAGCTTATTAGAAACATGCAGAGGCTTTTTAGGTCGGGTACAATCACTTCTATCTTAACCACTTCTCTTGCTGCTTCCATCACTGCAACACCTGTTGATTCTATCTTCTCTGGTCCAAACAAAATCCAGAGCATTAAGGACCAGAATCTAAAGTTAGATGGAGGACATACTGGCTGCTGTTTGGTTGTCAGAGGAGACAGCACTTCAACATAGCATGTTTCCTTAATGTCTGATCATATAGTAAGATCACTTTATCGTTTCATTCAGTAAATATCTTACAGATTGGACCTTTGAATAAAGTGTGACAAAGTGGGTGAGATGCTCTTTTGTTATTCTCCACTTGTCACTTAAATCTTCTTTTAATATCAAATCATGTTATTCTTTACAGTTGTGTATTTTGCAATGATGTATTTTTTTGCTTGTGTAACATTGCAGCACTTACTATCCCGGGTTTGTTTGTGTTAGCATGAAGTTACAGGTCACATGAAAGTATAAATCAACTTAAAGCAAACACACAGTCTTGATTCAGTTCAGTCATTTTTATTTAGTTTCTGGAGTTGTAATATATCATTGTTTGTCTGTTATCCAGACTTACTTTTGTTTGTTCTGTTGTCCAGTTCTCCATGTGCTCCCATGCAGTTAAAGGGGCTGGTCCAGCACTTTCTGGGTATTTATAGGGTTGATGATGTCATCGCTGACATCACTGGAGCAGACCATCTGAAAGGGTTTTGTTTTCTGAGAAATGTTTTCTGTCTCATCATTTCTTTCTTATGTAAGTTACGGGTCAAATATAATTGAAGTATTTGAAGTTCATGTAGTTGAGTATATGATCTGATGTTAAAGGTAAGGGTTTATTTGTATTTCTTTGCGGTAAGAGAAAAGTGAAACTCCTTGATGTGAGTTGTGCTTAACCCAGGTGCGGCCATTTTGTTAATGGGGCAGTCTATAAAACAGCAGGAGGAAGAAGAATGTGTAAACCTGCCCTTTGTACAACTAGCTACAGTGACGACAGTCTTGTCTTCAATCTCTATTTGTCCCAATTCATAACAATTGTTATCTCAAGACAATTTACAAAGGAGCAGGTAGAGACCTTACTCGTTGTTATGTTACAGAAGTAAAATGGGATAGGGGGAGATGAGATAATATGGAGGCAGGAATTCTACTTTGTATTCCTCATGTTCCTGTTGTCCACACTTTCCTGTCGTTGAGGGAGAGGTCGGAGCAGGCCGTGCATGAATGCCTCATATCTTAACCAGGAGGCGTTTTGAACAGTTTGCCTTGAGTAAAAATCTGGTGGGCTGGATTCTCCTCTTCTTACCAGTAGGACACAGAGAGTCTGGGTAAATGGGACCCTGTCTGACCTAAAGTGCACTTCTACTGCTTCTCCACAAGGGTGTGTGCTGTCACCTGTACTGTTTATTCTGAACTCAAAAATGAGTCAGAGCAAGAAATCTATTATAAGATTTACTAACTTCCTTGAATACTTGGTTGCTGCATGTTTACACAGCAGTAATGACAGATTTGTGTTTGAGTCATGATCATCCCTCATGAACATGTTCCGACTTGATCGTCTTGTTTTCCTGTTTCCAGATGAGCAGGCATGTCTAAGGAGGAGAGGTTTTTTTCTGCAGAGAAAGAGGAAAATGTTTTCATTAAT